CTCTTTCTCCTCTTTTTCCTGTCTTTGTTTTCTGTGGTCCTCCAGAAATTCATGGTTGAAGTGAAAATAGAACACTACTCTTTCAAGTGCTAGCTATGTAAAATGGGCTTTGTAATCACAGGCAGCCATTGCAGCTGCACCTGAAAATAACAGATTCTGAATAAGATAGCCTAATTATCTGGGGGTTATACTGTGCAATCATCAACAGAGAAAAGTAGGAGCTGTTGTATGACAGATTTCCTTGCTTGGCATGGTGTCTGTGCTTTCACAAGCAGAATCCTAGAGTATATGGGGAACATTTTGAAGCAGAGGAGAGTCAAATAAAAGCTGAGACTTTCCTGTGACCTAACTTCTTGTAGCCTCCTAGAAGGCACAGAGGGCTACAGGTACAGAACTGTCCTACTACTACTGACCACCTACCCATCCATCTCTTGTATTGTACCCGAACACCAAATTCATTTCCATCCTTTGGGAATTTAAAGTATAACTAAAGGAGTGCAGATCACTCTCTGCTCTGCTTAGAGAGGTACATGACAACTGTTCACACAATTGTATTGCTAGAGCAAAATGGGCATAATTTTCACAATGCAAAGTAAATAGTATTATTTTACAGTTTAACTCACACGTCTGGTTTACAGCCAGTGATTCCAGTCAGTATCAGTTTTATGTCTGATGCATGTGTGAAGTTTTCTCCTTTGACTGTTATTTCACTTTTGCCTAATGTAGAAATCCACAAAGGTTCAATGGATTGAATACTGATATGCTATTAGGAAACAAAGCAAAACAAAAACTGGTTATGAAAAAGTTAGGCAGATAAGCAAGAGCTGTAAAAACAACCAGCACCCAAGAGTGTGGATTTTATGGCACTAGAATGCATATTTATTAATAATTTCAAATCTTGTTAAACTTAATCCTGGGAAGAAGTGTCAATCACAACTTCTTTACAAGCCAACTATTTTTATCTATGTGTTTTGTATTTCAGCTTATCTCATAACAAAGTTGCCCAAAGGAATCACAGTCTGACACACTGGAAGGTAGGTATCATAAAAACCCAGCTTGAAATGATACATTTTGTGTGACCCCTGAAGAACTAAGAAACAACGCAAGACAAAACCTGTGGTGCTGTCACTAGGAGAGATCAGAGGAACAAACGAAGGCATCTTTTGTGACCTGAAAAGGGGAAGCAGGGTCAAATCTCGAATGAAAAGTTGAGAAAGAGCCCCAGAATTAGCTTTGCTAGAAAGTCTTATCAAAACCATACATAAACCTAAAGGTACAACACAACTGCAGGGGAATTTTTTGGTACCCCATTTTGATGCTAAGAAGTTCTCCAGCATTTAAGAATAATCCTAGTTTGCTCTGATGCTGTCACAGTCTTGCAGAATGTGGCCAGCTTTTAAACTGTGCTTTTCTTTGTCTATATTTGCTTATTCTAACTTACTAACACTACTGAGCAAGAAGAGATTTTTTTCCCTAGTGTATTTACTTGATACACTTGACAGCATCTCATGTTTAATCAGTTTTGCTGCTTCTCCAGTTTTATAATCATACAGACGGTTTCCTCTCTCTATATCTTTCAGACAACAAACTGAAACATTCAAAAAAACAGGAAAATACGCACGTGAAACCACAAACTGCTTGGGACCTTCTCAGGCAAATGATTTCTAGCTTGATTTTAGACTGCCTACAATACTAGTTTAAATTGAGATTTTAGAGCATTGTGATTATCCTGATTTTTGCTGTGCACCTTTGGACGCATCCACTGGACAGTTCAGGCTTCCTGACCCTGTGAAGGGACCTGGTGCAAAACCGAGGAAGGTCCATCCCACAGGTCTTTCTCACCACTCATCTTTTCACGTGCCCAGAGCAGCACTAAGACTTCAGGCTGGTTGCCTGAGGGGACCATCAGGGTCACAACACCATCCTCTGCAAACACAGCCTTTGCCCATTTCAGAAAGCTCCCCAGCACATTGTCCCCACATGCTACCATGGCTCTTTGAATGCTGGAGTGCTCCAGAGCAAATGAGGGACCTGTCACAACTGATGGAAAGCTGTAACTTGTGCTTCATTAAAGGGCAAGAGAGTGCAAAGGCTGGGGCCAGAGGGCCTGCAAAAGGGCCTCCAAGATGACCTCTGGTATGGATAATGGAGGAAGACAAAGGAAATCCCTCACAAACAGCCTGAGGGGGAAAATTCACTCCCTCGACCATGACGTGGGAATCAGTCCTTGGGACAGGACAGCTGAAACAGAAATCTAAGAGATTCAAGCCAGCAAAGCACCAGTGCTTTCTCTCCTGTGCCCTGTCCCTCTGCTTGTGTCCAACCTCCAGCACAGTAAGGACAAAACGGACACAAATCCAGAAGCCAAATACTACAGAAAGGAGTAAAACACTGCTTTGGGGCCCGCACTGGTAACCAACAGGGAGCCCTGAAGCACTGGAATACCACAGTATCACATAAACACATGGAGATCCCCCAGAGCTGGATTAGGGCTGTGAGCCCCTATGGGGAAATGCCAGGCATGCCCTGCCCAGGGGGGCAGCAGGACCCTGCGGTGCTTCAGGGCTCCCACTGGTCTCTGCCAGGCACCACACACCACAGAGTGTCTCAGCTTAGCTCGCCTTGCTTCTTTTCTTACACCAAGAAGAAGTCACAGAAAGAATTGTTCACTCTGGAAGTTTTAGTCCCCTCTGAAATCATACCTTCCCTGCAGCTACACAGCACAGGCTCCCTCACACCATCCTGCCTCGGACTCAGGGCACCAGTGCAGCCACACATGGCACTAATGTAAGCTGGTCTCAGCTACCTGAGAGCCTGATTCCCACCCAACCTGACCACCCTGGTCTGTGACACTTCCCTCAGCAGCAAAAGAAACCATGAATTTCCTCACTGAAATCAGCGAGGAAATTCATCCCTCAGGAAGGACCTAGTGTCCTCACTGGAATCCGTGGTGCTTGTTTCCCCAGCTTCAGAGAGCTGCTGACCTCCCAGTCACTGCTGTGACTGTGGCTGGGGGAGAGATGCCCCGTAGCAAGAGGGGAGACAGCACAGAGGCAGAAGGATATTTATAAAAATCACTAGTTGTGAAGCATGTGATGAAAGAGTAAACATGAAAAGAGACATACAGACAGCGTGCACCAGGTCCTCAGGTAATGTAAATCAGCACAGCCCTGTCAACTTCAATAGAGCTCCGTATTTCTGAGCTGCAGCCCCCGCCCCCGTGCCCTGGACGGCCCAACGCATCCCTGGGGCTTCGTAAACAGGGGCAGCCACATCCTCAGAGGTGTGGTTAGCATGGCTGCAGGTCTTGGAGAGATAGCTGGCAGCGGCCCAGGTTAAGCAGCCTCTGCCACCCTAGGGAGTCCTTCTCTGGCACAGACCCTCCTGCATGGCTAGCACAGGACCCAGAAGAACTGTATCAGGAACTGGCCCAGATGCAAAATAACCTGCTGAATGACAACAAGTTATTTCCAGCCAAATCAGTTCCCTAGCCAAGCGTGCTCACTCCAACCACTTCAACTGCTGCTCCAGTGCAGGGAGGGGGAAGCTGAACGCATGGAAACCAGCTGCTGGAGTCAGGAGGAGGGCTGGGGCTTCCACTGAACTAAAATATATTAATCTAAATGCTCAGCTGGGGTTGTGGGAAAACACAAATCCTCTTTTCCTGCTCTCCAGTATGTTCTCCTTAAAGAACCAGCAGTCAAAGGAGAGCAGGATTTCAAATGCAATTTCAAGCCCTCTGAATGGATCAATCACTTCTAAATAAACATCTGCCTTTGCACTGCCTCTGGTGCTTTCACTGCCTTGTCCATCACTGTCTTTCCAAGATAAGGCATGTGGAAGAAAGCCATCTCCCAGGCAATTCCAACTATTTACCAATGTCAAATTAATGCACTTGGAAGCAGAGCAAAGAAGAATTTCCTCTGTTCTTTCACCAGACATAATTCTTTAAATGCAGATCAAATCCAGAATATTAATGCTCAGAAGCACAAATATTACAATCCTACTCGTGTCTGTGAAAAATAAAATGTATTTTCTGATTTTGTAAGAAACATCAGCCGAACAATTGAATTTAAAAGGTAATTCCTGTCTTCAGAGGTAAAAGTTTGGGTAGTTCTAATGCAACATTCAGAGATAAGAACACAGTAGCTATTTATAGCAATCATGCACCACTCACAGAAAGGCAGAAACCAAAAAGTGTAGGCAGCAAATCTCTATGTACTTACTCATCAGTCAAATTTCTCTGCACTACTCATTTCTTTCCTAACACCCGCATGTCATAAGCAACCACTGATAAAAAAGATCGCTCAGTTTAATGAGAAAATAAAAATATTTTGGTTTCCATAAAGAATGAAGGGATAACCTCGTGGTTAAAGGGATGGCCTGCAAAGCAGAAGGTTAAAAGGCTGGCCTGTGAGACACACACATAGTCAACACCATTTCTATAGAGAACTCCACAATCAGATTCAGCAGGTACTCTGGCACCAGTGACACTACTTCCTTGCCAGTAATCCAGCTTGTGTGGGATAGATGGAGAATAGCTCCATCACCAGTTTTCTCTACAGCCTGGAAACAAGGAAAATTTTTCTGGAAGTGTGAACTAGGGATTTACTAACACCCAGGAATTTCAGTTCCTGGACTCATCCTCTAGCCACTTCTCTGTTACACAGAAACTGGGTGGCACATCCTCCCCTTCCTTCTGCTCCCCTGGCAGCTATGCTTTAGAAGAAGCTGTGATCTGGCTGCATAAAATGAGGAAGAGGTTTGAGACTCTGAAGCCTAGTTTCACAGAGTTGTCTGTGACAGCAGAACTCAAATGTGCTTTTAAGTCTAGGTAAGAGATTAAGTCTGAAATGTTCTCCTTTGTGGTTTTTTTTGTTGTTGGTCAGCTTGCATGTCCCAGCCTGCAGTGTGCTGGCTCCTGTGGAGTGCCTGAATACACCATACAGGGACTTTGGTATTTATAGCAATATTGTAAATACTGCATCTAGAGGTAGGCACATGACAGTTGCAGTGCTCACTGTCTCAGTGAGATTTGAAACACAAGTTTTTGCTGGTACCTTTTAACGCTAACAAAGCACTAAGAAAAAATAGTAGAAGTCCAAGCTCTGCATTGCCTTCCTGTGTAACCAACTGACTGCCTCCTCATTCATATCTCTATTCTTTCTGCAAAGCCCTCTCATTTTAAATAAATTTCTCCCCCAGCCCACAGAACCTTAATAATGTTGATCTTACAATGCAAACTAACCTCTGTTTTCTGAGGAGTGATGATCCCCTTGGAAGCAGCTGCATTACAATTATCCTGAAAAAAAAATCAGCATTTCTCTATGTCAGGACAAAAAAGAGACAGATTGCTGCTCAGATGTAAAAAATAGAAGGAAAAGACATCACAGGGGATTCCAGTTCTCCCCAACAAAATTCACCTGGCAGGTGGTGGCAGGAGAGACACGCATCCATGTACAGCTGGCACATTCACCCTTGTGTATACACCGTGAGCAGCTGGTAACACAAAAACAGAGTTTTTGTAAGACACAGGAACTTAATCTAGATTCAGTCATGAATGTGAAATTTCAAGTGACAGAAAAAAAGCCTAAACCCAAGAGAACAACCTGGCAAACATGCAATGAAATGGATAAAACACATAACCTGCATTCACCCTCCAAGCCGATTGTTCTGTTGTGCTTATTCTGAGGAGAAATTTAGTATGAAATACAATCTGTGCTGAGATGCTGAGAGTCATAAATCTAAAAAAAAAAAAAAAAGCAGGAAGCAGATGGGACACTTTGGGTTTCATTTTGCTGTGATTTACTCCAGTACATGAGTGGCCAGGCAGTACTTTTTAACCAGAAAAGGAGAGAAAACCACCACTGATTCTTTCACAGCTTGTCTGAACTTCTGTTCTGTGTGTGTAGTGCTAGCAA